AACTGTAAAACATACTAAGTAGAAAAAAAAGTATATACTGTATGACCTCATTTATATGAAATGTTTAGGAAGGAAATTACATATGTGCAAGACAAATCAGTGACTGTTGCCCGGGGGTAGGAAGAGAGAGTACCTACAACTGGGCACAAGGAATCTTGGGTGATGATGGAAATATCCTAATACTGGACTAGGATGATAGTTGTACGAAAAACAAATTATGAAAAAAAAAATCACTGGGTACCAAAAAAAAGGTAAAATTTATGATATATACATGTTACTTCCAAAAAGGATCCCTCTAAAAAAGACCGAGGAAAGGAAACTCAGGAGGCTGAGCTGGACGAGGAATGCTAAGTGGAAGCCGGATGTGTGCCCTGAAGGATGGCTAGGACTGAGGAGCCACAAGTAAATTGCTTTATCATCAGATAAACAGCTTACTTTTCTCCCAACCACTCATTACAGCCACAGGATGGAAGTTCCTTTGGAACAGTCTTCTGTTTACTGCTGCTTTATCTCAAACTATTAGAAAAGTGGCTGGCACATGAGGGGTGCTTAATAAAGATTTGCTGGATAATTCACTAAGAATTCTCCAAGCATTATCCTGGAAAACCCACTTAGTTAAATGATTCTTTCCATATTTTAAAAGTGTACCTTAGTAGGTTGTATGTGTTTTTTTAAGACTCTTTCCCTAGCAAACTCAACTGCAGTGTTGTTGAAAGCAGAAAGCTGATCACTGTATAATATAAAGGTTTCTGTTTGTACAGAGTAATAGAATTTTTAGCTACTGCACTTGTGTTGAAACTAGGTAGCTAAAGCCTCTAAGGTTAATCTAATGAAAACGTTAAGAAATGAGAGATATAAACCCTAAAACTTGAATCATAAAATTTCTGTCAATATAAAGGAATAATCAATTCTCTACAGCTTTGAGAAAAGTTACTGAGAAAGGCTGCAGGAAGCTTTAAATGGTCTCTGGTTTATAAACTCCTAAGAATTGGTGGTCCTAGTCCATATATAAATGATTACAGAAAGCTGTTCGTTGATGAATTAATTTCAGGAGAGACTTAATATGATGCCTAAGAGACCTAATTTATTTTGCTCTTTTCTACAGCAGCAAATGGAACAATTACACAGCTTAGATCCAACTCTCATCTCCCCACTCCAATACTAGCAGATTCCAGCCAGAATTAGCCTTACATTGTTTCTGTCTTCACTTGGTCTACTTTGATAACAAGAGAAAATATTTAGAAAAATCCTTTAATTGCAGAGTCTTAAATTCAAAAATGCCCTTTCCTTTGCCACAGTAGGTCGAGCTACCGCCTTTTCCTTTGTGTCTCCATAGCAACCACCAGAATTCAGGTTAGGGATAGCCCTTAACTAGGCCTTGTCTTCTCCAACAGATTTCAGGACCTCTCTGTGTTTTACATATCTTATTTCGGTTATCTGAGTTAATTAGAGAGATAATACAGTCATAATTCGACTATAACATGATACATGTATAATAATGATTATAGTAAAACTATATTATCTGTCTACCCAGCTACCTACCTAGCTTTATGATTCTCAATGGCAATTTTCACGGCAATACTTTCTGATTCAGAATTCACAAAACATTTCCTACTGACTGTCATTTCAAACCCAAATTTTTGTGGCCAGTTTCCAAGTTTTCATGTCACTACTCCACCCATTAATACTACAGTATCTCACTTAATAGCCCATTATATATAATTCAGACAAATCAGTGCACTACATACTTACTGATTTTGTGTATATAAAAAGATCACTTCTGAAATAAATGTAAACAATAAAAGAAAGAAATAGAACCAACTCTTTTACCCACCGCCCATCATAAAAACAAACAAAAAACAAGAAAACATAATATCACCATTGTATGTCAGTCTGGTGCCCATTCTATCCCCTACCCATTCCCCATAGTAAAGGTAACTACTGTCCTGAATTTTGTTTTCATCATCCTCTTGTTTTTCAATATAACTTTACCACAAAACCATTACACTCCTAAACAATATTTATTTTTACATGTTTTGAATTTATATAAATAAAATCACAGTGCATGCATCCTTTCAAGATCTGCTTTCCTCATTCAACATATTCCTAAGGTTCCTCAATGTTCACTGCTGGGTAGCATTTTTTGTATGACTATTATCACTCTTTATTCATTCTACTGTGCATGGACTCAGGTTTTGTGCAGTATGTTTCAATATAAACATTGCTACCACAAATATTCCTGGTGCACATGGACTCAGGTTTTGTGCAGTATGTTTTAATATAAACATTGCTACCACAAATATTCCTGGTGCACATGGCCGAGGCACGTATGCGTGGTCAGAGAATGGAATTGCTGGGTCACAGCTGAGCATGTCTTCAACTACAAAGGCAGTCACATATATTTTCCACAGACCAAGCAGTAAATTGCAACCTCATCAGTGGTAGATACATGTTAAAGCAACTGTGTGTTCCCACCTAAAACTCTTACCCTCAGACTTTGTAATATTGCCCAATTTTAGGTGATTAAGTTCTTTTATTATTTGGGTGACAGTTGATGTATTTCTGATTAGTAATGATGTTGAGCACATTTTCATATTTTTATTGGCCATTCCTATCTAACGTGCAAGTTTGTGTATTTTAATATACTGACACTTCATTGTTTTTCTTTAGAGCTTTGTCAAATTATTTATAAATACATAGTTATTTTTAGTTCTTATCATTGGCAACAATTTTTTTCTGTGTTGTGGCTTATCTTTTCATTTTCCCTAGGGTCTTCTGATGAAAAGAGGATGTAAACATCAAATGTAGTCAAATTACCTTTAGGGATTTCCTTAATGGAGCTTTAATATGTCTTGTTTAAGAAATCCTGCCACACTGGGATCATAGACACATTGTCCAAATCATTTTCTAATTTTTAAAATATATTTTTCTCACTCAGGGTTAAGCTTTTAAATAGCTGGAATGATTTTTTTTATATAGGATGTGTCCAAATAAATGTGTGTCTGTCAGGATAATGTTGTTCCAAACCATTTAGTTAAAAAAAAAAAAAAAGAAAGAAAGAATGAAAGAAAAATGCATGCTAGCTTTTTCATACTGTTTTCACATACATGAAGTTTTGTTTCTGGGTTCTCTATACTGTTTCACTGGCCTGTCTGTCTAACCCTGCACAAAGCCATACTGGCTTGATTACTAATGTTATATGTTGAGTCTTGTTATTGATAAGGTCAAGTCTGCCTGACCTGTTCTTATTCCTCAGGAGTTTCTACCAAATGTTTCCCTTTGATTCTCAAATGTGCTTGTGAATCAGCTGGTCACATTCCATAACAGATGGACAAAACACAAATCTAAAGATTTTTGAGTTCAATTATTCTATGTATCAAGTCATGGAAAATTGACATTTTAGCTTTACTGTGTCTTCAAATCCATTAAAGTGATATATTTTCTCCAATTTATATAGATATTAAAAAAATGGTTTTCAGTAAATGTTTATTTTTCAACCAGAAAGGTTTCATACTTCCTTGTTGAATTTCTTTTTCTATATTATCGTCTCTCTTCACTCTGAATTTATTGTTGCCCTAAGTTAGCTCATTCATTTTCATCTTAAAATGGTACTACCCGAAAATTCGTTTTCACCCTTTCTTCTTTTCTAATGTATGGTTTTAAGATGGAAAAGATCCCTCTAAATAATGCTTTAGCTGACTCAAGCATGTTGCTGTTTAGAATTTCTACTACTGTCCCTTCAAAATACATTCTAGCTTCCTTGGCTATTTCTTATTTGACCTCCAAGTTAGAACACTTTTCTAATTTTTATTATTGATTTCTAATTTAACTGAACTTTGATATTTATGTCAAAGCTAATATGTCATCAGGTATTGAAAAAAATATGTTCTGTATGTATTCACTAGCTAGAGCTTGCAATTGGCTTCCTTAAATCTCCGTGCTTACTGATGGTTTTTCTCTGCTTGAGCTACCAAATAATGAAACATATGTCTCATTATTATGATCAATGTCTGTTTCCCCTTTCAGTTCTATTTTTGTTTCATACATTTTAGTTTTATGTATGTCTACTGAATTAATCTCCAGGAGGCCTTTTTGAAATAAAGCCTATTTTGACTGATATTAATATATCCCTACCTTCTTTCCTTTGAATGAAAATGATCAGGAATACCTGTTCTGTTTTTACTTTCAACAATTCTGTATCCTTATAGTGTAGATGTGTTATGTGGCAAACAATTTGTAATTCTTCTTAAACTTGGAGTACTTTATTTACTTTCATCTTTAATTAGGGATTTATTTGGATTTATTTCTGCAATTTTTTTCTTTCTTTTTGTCTTTATCTTTTCTTCTTCTCCCTCATATCACATAATTTAATAATCATTCACAATTCAGTCTACACTTTAAGTGTAATTACTTTATAAATTTTAAGATGCATTCTTTACTTATAAGAATCTAAATTTGATCTATATTCTCCCCCCTAGAATAATATAAGGGTTTTACAACAATTTATATCTAGTACCCTGTCCTAGCTTTTAAGATAAAGCATATATAAGTTTAGGAGAAAGAACATGTTTTTCTTTTCTTGTTTTTCTCAGTTTGTGTATATTTTACTCCTCCCAGCATAAAATGCACACACCCTTGATATTCCATATCAAGTAATAACTGTATGTTAACAAGGATTCCTTATTACTGAAGTATAACTTAGCCAAATCTAAATAATGTATTTAACTTAATTCTCATCCTATGAGGTGAAACAGATACTACTTTTTTCCCATGTTAGATGTAAGATCACTAAAACAAAGCAAAATTAAGTCGCTTTGAAAGCTATCCACTTCTAAGTATCAAGACCTGGAAGAGAATTTAGAATTTCCTTTACATATGAAAGATAAGGTATGTACAAGCTGAACAAATTAATAATATATTACTTCATTAGGATCAGTATAGCTCCTACTTAACACTCCACAAAAACATCTGTGAAATGAAATCTCCATTGTAATACTTACTTGGAACTATAAATTCTATTTCTTCTGACATAGCGACCCCTAGTTTATTAGAGGCAAAGCAGCGGTATTTCCCTTGAAAGTGAGATATGTGCCCCTCATTCGGGATCTTGAATGTTCCTGAGTTGTTAAATACAATTATCCGAGGGTCAGAGAGATCAAAAGGCTTGTCGTCCTTAGTCCACGTAAATCTGTAAGATAAAACTGAAGTCGATTATTCCGAAAAATCATTTCTTAATTTTAAAGTACTAAATTAAAGTACGTATTTCTTAATTTTAAAATACTTATAAACAAATGCCCAGAAATGATGAACCCAAGACATTTTACGGTTAAGACATGGTGTGTGTGTGTGTGCATGTGTATGTGTGTGATAATGCACTATAATACTACACAAAAATGAGTCTCAGAAGAACCTGAGAAATCTTACAAGCTGCTACAGACCCTCCAAATTCCTATGCGGAAGCCTAATCCCCAGAGTAATGGTATTTGGAGGCGGGGCCTTCGAGTTGTGATCAGGGTCATGAGGGTGGAGCCTCACTCAGGGGATTCTGGTCTCTATAAAGAGACCCCAGGGAGTATTCTTTCTGTCTTCTGTCTTCTGAAGTTACAGGGAAGGCAGAGGACTAGGAACCACGGTGCGGGCTTTCACCAGACACCAAATCTGCTGGGGCCTTGATCGTGATCTTCCCACCTTCAGAACTGTGAGAAATGGATGCTTGCTGTTTAGTATTGTTATAGCAGCCATAAGACCCACCCCACAAAAAAAGGTGTGGTAATTGAGAAAACAAAAATTTAAGATAGGTTTTATACTGTTCTTTTAACACTGTTTTTCAATTTTTCCAATTAGAAAGGTAATGTGATATTTTCACTAGTATTCTGGATACTACAAAATATAAAATTATATGTGTTTAACGTGGGGGGTGTTAAAAAACCCTTTTTATTCCTAAAAGCTTATTTTTGTCCAGTGAATTTTCTTGGACTTTTTAGATAGAATATCAAATTTTCCAATAATAATAATATTGTTAACAACATTTTCTCAATATTTACAGTCTATTTTCTTTTCTTACATAGTTGTATTGGACACAGATCTAAAAATACAAGTAACAGTGTTCATAGGAGATATTCTATTCTTATTTCTGAATTTACTGGACTCCAAACTGGATATGTAAATTCAAAATTAAACTCAAAACTGGATATTGACATGATAAATACATTTGATTATTAATCATCTTTGATGATTACAAGGCATTATCTTTTTTGGTATAACTCACTTAATAATACCTATCAAAATATTCATTGATCCATATTCACACTGACTAAATTCTTCATTCCATGTAATTCTATCCATATTTGTATACACTGACTGAATATATTCCATTTGGTAAGATATATAATGATGATTTACTGTGTTAATATTTCACTAAGAATAATGTTTAAAATATCAAATTATCAATATTATCAATGTTAGTGATAACACAATTTCCAATAATCAATTTCATTAACTGTATTTTGTTGATAGAAAATGATCAAGATAATCAATATAAACATGTATATTTGCTGCCCACTTTAGAATCATTCATAACTTTAAAATCTATAATTTTCCCTATAGCTTCTCCTCCTCAAATACACACACAATTCTTTCACCCTTCTAAAACAGGAGATACTTGGAAAAATGTAGTGTGTATACTATATATACACTAAAAAAATATTACATATATTAATACAATGATATATTTAGTAAATTTTAATATAGTCAAGATATAGATGAATGAGGAAAAAAGTATGTTTATATAAGCATCACTTAATATGATCACCTAGAGTAACAATTATTTAACAAAAAATACTAGATAATAATTTATCATGCAGGTAATAAAAATACTAGATAATAATTTATCGTGCAGGTAATTTTTCACCATCTGGGACTAAATATTTCTACATTAACTTAAAAATTATAAAATAACCTATTCACTGAATATAATCTGTGTCACATTTAAAGACATGCAACAATAAATATGTATAGAATATAATTTATAAATGTATTCACTTTTGGCTTAATAAATGATACTTTTCACTAAGTAGAATAAAGGATCTTCTGGTTTTTAAGCTATTTTACTCACTTATAAGGTAAGTAATTGTTGACTATTTCCACAGTGCTGAATTCTGTGCTAAGAACTTAATATTTAAGACATTTTATGATATAAATAACTTAAACTGCCAGAAGAATCTATGTAAAACAACTAAACTTTATTTTCATAGACATAGTTATCCTTCATTTGGTAATAGGTATTTACAGTCATATGTAGATTTATACCCCAACCAGCTTATAATGGTCAGATAAAAATAAGTAAAAAGGATGGTATACATCTCAATATTTATTTACTTTGAAGGAATACTCACGTTGGTTCCGGATTTCCTTTAGCTTCACATTCAATTTGAAAATATTCATCAAAAGGAAAGGCAACTTGCACTTCTGACTGTTTTATGATTGTTGGAACCTGTTGAACTAAATATTAAAATATGTATTTAAAGAAGATGCTCTTCAAAACTGGGTGAGGTTAATTTACCATAAGAGAAACACTCTAAAATGCTTTCTATATTGATAAATTAAAGGACTGTCAAAGATTGAAAATTATGGGACAAATTTGACTTTCTTTTAGTAAAATATATTTAATCCTAAGGAATACACTTCACTGCCAACATTTCATATTACCATATATAAACACATTCATTTTGTTTAAACCCAGAATAAAGTAACATTTTTTAAAGCAGAAGAAACGTTGCTTTATCATTACAACTGCAAAATATCCATTTTTAAGTTCCTGACATTTAATAATCTAAGTTCATACATATATATTTTTACTTTGTTCAGTCATTTTAAACTGAAACATTTTGTTCTGGTTTTTTCCTTTACAGTTTCCAAAAACATTTGATTAATTTATTATTTTTTACATTAGTTTTCTTCCATTGATATGTGACAACTTATTTAACAATTTTCTTATTATTGGAAATAAGATTTTTTTTTCATTTTTCTCTTTCCAGGTAACATGTACTTCAACAGACATCTTCAAGCACATGGATCATTCTTTTATTAAAGTAGTGACTTATGATAAATTCCCAGGCATGGACATAAACTATAAAAGACTCTGTATAAATGCTTATATTTCGGCACACACAACATATGAGTACAATTGTTTCCTACATCCTTGCTACCAATGAACATCAGCATTTAAAAATGATAAAATATTATACTTACTATTGCAAAGGAAAATATAAACTACCCATTCTCTTTTTTATTTCCATTTATTGCTTTTTAGTGTATTTTTCCAAGCTTATTATTTATCATTTCCCATTTATAAATTTACCTTTCATATTTTTTCTCACTTAACTATTGAAGTTTGAGGTCAGTTTTCTTCTGTCCTTACAGAATTTAACACTAATAACCACTAACATAAAATTGCAGCTAATAAACAACAGTATTTTTTTTAATTGGCTCAAAGCAGTGGCTCTCAAACTTTGATTGGCATTTTTTTAAAACTTCACCTGAAATCATTTTTTTTTTTGGAGAGGGCATCTCTCATATTTATTGATCAAATGGTTGTTAACAACAATAAAATTCTGTATAGGGGAGTCAATGCTCAATGCACAATCATTAATCCACCCAAGCCTAATTTTCGTCAGTCTCCAATCTTCTGAAGCATAACGAACAAGTTTTTACATGGTGAACAAATTCTTACATAGTGAATAAGTTCTTGCATGGCAAACAGTACAAGGGCAGTCATCACAGAAACTTTCGGTTTTGATCACGCATTATGAACTATAAACAATCAGGTCAAATATGAATATTCGTTTGATTTTTATACTTGATTTATATGTGGATCCCACATTTCTCCCTTTATTATTATTATTATT